CCCCAAAACCCCAAAACCCCAAAACCCCAAAACCCCAAAACCCCTAGATAAAAACCTTTATAATTTTCTTGTGGAGATTATAATTAATTATAAAAATGTTTGCTCAAAAATTCGTGCAGCCTTCATGCATGATGTTGAACAGCATCAGGATCTCTTCCACTCTTGGAAGGATGATGTACTATTCCCAAGCAAGGGCATATTCAAATGTAAGTGCATTCTAGCCCTAAATCTGATAACTTTAGACTAATGTATTATACTCATTTATCCAGACCCGCTTGAGAAAGGAGGCTTTCAAAAACTCAATCTACCGACCCTTGGCGGCTAATACCATCAATTCAAACGATGGAGCTAGGAAGAAGAGAAAAATTGTAGGAAGAGGAAAAGCATCTGGCCATGGGAAAAATTGTGGTAAAGGACATAAAGGACAGAACTCAAGAGCTGGAACGGGACATACAAGTGCTGCCTTTATTGGAGGGCAGAATCCCCTCAACAAGAGGTTACCCAAAGTAGGTTTCAACAGAAATGCACATAAAGAACCACTTGAGAGAGTAAACATCAGAGACATCTTGTATTATATTAGAAAAGGAAAATTGGATCCTACCAAGACTATTACCATTAAGGATCTCTTTGAATGTGGAGCTGTCTCAAAAATTAAATACGGAATTAAAATCCTCGGAAGAGGAGCTGAACAATTAGACTCTTTTGAACAGCCACTTCATTTTGAGGTCCAGGATGCTTCTATGAGTGCTATCGAAGCTATTCAGAGAAATGGAGGAAGTGTTACATCTGTTTATTACACTCCAACTATTATTAGAAGATTATTGTGTCCTTATAAGTTCAAAATTCCTGAAGCTAAGATTCCAATGCCGCCTCCAAAGAAGGTCTTGAAGCTTGAAAAACTCAGGGATAAAGGAATCGATGTAAGATATCCTAAAGCACCATGGTATGAACAATATCAACAAAAGCAGGAACAAGAGCTTGCTGAGTTTGAGGCAAGAGAAAAGACTGCTGGAGAAAAGATTCTGCCACAATACCCAGCAAGCAGAGAGCCAGGAGTCAGCAGAGGCACACCAAAGATTGAAAGAGAGATCATTCCAAAGACAATCAAACTTCCACTTGATTTCGGAAGTTAAATATTGTGGCAGTTTGGTTCAATGTCATCTACTGCTAAAGGGGTTTTGGGGTTTTGGGGTTTTGGGGTTTTGGGGTTTTGGGGTTTTGGGGTTTTGGGG